TTAACCTTTCCAAGCCCAGAACCTGCAGGAGATAAGTGGGAATTGAGGAAGCCCAACTCTCTCCTCTCCTCCACCACACCCAGTTAAATTTTACCTTCCGCATTGAATAAAGAAATGCCTTGATGCCTAGAGCAATTTTCGATAAATAGATATTTATTAGAAAGGAGAGGAGACTCGACCATGCCAAGCATCTTGCCTTGCTGATGTCTGAGAACAGAGGCTTGTTATGCATTACAATTCATTCCTTACAACAACTTCCGCAAAAGAGTTTACTCACCACACTTGTTACTACGGTCAGAAGTCAATGTTCCAGCCGGAGAACCCATTTCTTCTCCACCATGACGACCCCACTCAACAAATGGCTCCGCTTCAGCTACTCCATATCCACTTGTCCACGTTACAGTCATCTGATATCACATTTCAAAGCTCATTTTATCTTAGGAATTGGTATTTGTAGACAAACCAGGAATACACGTGTGCTAGCACAGGCTGCATAGCGTAAAAGAAGAAACTCATGCATTTGTCAAAAGCAAACTGCACTGCCAACTCGTCCCAAAATGAAACAGAAGCCCCTCTGTTTTACCTTGTTTTGAGACTGAGATCCATGAATAGGCTTATGAGAATTACTCGAAAACTTAGCTAGTTCTGGTGATTCAAGCTGTTGCTGTTGTTGATGTATGAATTTTGGATGAGAAAATTCATGAATATAATTAGTTCATTAGGGTTGTAGGACCCTTGTCTGAACATCCTATGTATCTTCATCTCAGAGAATTGGTGTATAGGTTCTTGTCAGTTGTCTTGTCTCAGTTTTTATTACCATAAGAATTTGTTATCTTGAGGCAGAAAGAAGGCCCATCATTGGCTCACTTATTGCATCATTACCCGTGCAGTATCTTGCCCAAAAGGAGTCTTTGACTAGAAATCCCGCTTTTTATGGTTCCCAGATTTTATGCAAAAAGGTGAGTGAAACCGGGTGCCGTGAACCAAAAACTTGTGTTTGAGGTCCATGGGATAGACAAAAACTTAAAACCAGGTACAAGATGTTATGATGGATTTTGCTCACCTTTTTGCAAAACATCTTAGCACCATAAAGAGCGAGATTTCTAGTGAAAGATTATCCTTTTGATTATTCTCATGACATTCTGATGGATTGCAATTCTTGAACAGATTGCGAGTGAAAGCGAGATTGCCCTGTTCTTCTTGTGGCCGAACCACCAGCCTTACTTTGTCATGCGATTTATCTTGTTGGTTTGACGTTACAATCTAACTTATGAAACGTGTTACTACACTTGCAAAATAAAAACATGTGGTTAGCTTTGGAATTGGTTCAGAATGCCCGTAGGTGATTCGATGGACTTATGTATGAGTGTGTTTGCATATATCATGGACTTTGAAGATCTCAAGTCCCATATGTAAAGTCTCTTCTCCTCCTAATTGATTGCTCAGCTCTGATTGGTGAGTTTGTCCCTTTGTTTATTTTTGGTGGAAAGTTTTGTTGACTTTGAGATAATCTCAGGAGGCCTTGAGAATATTACTTTCACTTTTGCAAGAATTGAATGCGTAGCTATTAAAATAGTGGAGTTGGATGCTCCGGTAACTGTATCGTTACTCCTAACAAATTGGTTGAATAATCTTGTTGTCGCTTCTCTTTTGAATGGTCGTAGGACTCTCTTGGGAGCTTTCAAGAGGGTTAAAATCAGGCACATTTTCATAATGGTAAATCTATAATTAGAAACAGTTTTGGTTTTCTAACAAACTCTAAGGAAATGGAATAGGAAAAACAAAATCGACAGTCTCTTCACAACATAAATATGCCTGATAAAGAAGTGGTGAGAGGAAGCAGCAAAAGGACCCAAATTTTATGGCCAAGAAGTCTACTTTGTAGCAAATGCAACACAAAAAATTACTTTTCACTGTACGAGGTTTGTTATCTTGCCGACAAGCAATATAGAGAGGTAAGTAGCCAAGATCGCATGAATTAGATTAGTAATTTTTGTATAAATTATTTTTCATGAGTTGGTGCTTGCTAGCTGTTGACACCTAAATTTTGCTTATTCATTTAGGGTTTAATTGCATGAAAAATTAGGGATTGATTTTTAATCCCTAAACAAAAATATTTTCTTTAAATTGTATGGCATGTAGACAATAGGTGCATTTGCATTAATAGGGCCTATTAGAACATATTTTTCATGTTTATTTTCAAAAATTAAATTAAAAAAATTAGTTAATTAATAAATTTAAAAAAAAAAAAGGCCAGCGTTGAATTAGTCAACGCTGGCCCACTTCACTTTCCTAGCCCTGTGCCGTGCGCTGACCTGGGGAAGGGAAGAACGCAGCGGACAGAAGCCAGAACAAAAAGCAGAGAGAGAGAAGACAAAGGGGAGCTCTTCCCCGTGACTCTCCCTCTGATACTTACGAAAAAGAAGAAAAGGGGGAAAGGACACGGAAGAAAGGAGTCTCACAGGAGACAAAAAGAGGACTCTGCCCTCTTCTTTTATGGGGATGAAGGCACGTCCAGAAGAAGGAGGATAGAGAGCGGGAGAGGGACGGAGAAAAAAGAAGAGCTGGTTTGAAGGAGAGCCGAGAGAGGGGAGTGTGAAAAAAAAAAAAAGAGAGAACAGAGGAACCGAGAAAGAAAAAGAGAGAAGAGAAGGAAGAGGCCGAGGGAGTTCGGGGGAAAAACACGAGAGCAGAGGGTCCCCATCCGCCTGAAGGAGACCCTGAGGTACCGCCGACGAGCCTCCGATCGCCGCTTTGCCGCCGGCCAGCCTCGAACAGGTAGGATTTTGACTTCCCCTGTTTCGGCCTCCTCCTCCCCTGCCTCTCCGGTGCCGGGCACGCCGAGCCTATTCGGTGGTCGCCCGGCCCCGTCCATGGACGCTTACACTTGTTTCACGCTCGAATAAGTCGATTTAGGCGTTATACGTGGAAAATAGGCCGTGAGCTCTCTCAAGATCGGACCTGTAATTCCAATCTTCGACCGCACTAACGAGACAGTCTAGGGTTAGAACATCAAACCAGGTCGTGTTGATTTGTGGATGCTTCATTGTAAACTGAAGCGAGTTTATGGTGTAGTGAGCTTATTTAAACCTATGCATATCACGCTCGAGTAAAAGAATAGTGTTGAAGCTCGGCCCCAAACTTGTTTTTGAGCTCGCTCACCACTTGTTTGATAAAATGCCCAAGCGAATGTCGAATCTGTTTTCATGAAACGGATGCTCTGGAGCTTCGATTTATGCACGAGCTCTTCCAATATTGTCACTGACTTTATGTTCTCTTTGTCTTTCATGTGATTTCGTGGCATATTAACCTTGGTTCGAGTCGGCCGCGTACACACCTCCCTTGCTCCGGAAAGCTCTTCGTCACCGGTGATGCTCGCGGTTTGAGGCCGCAACTGTTAGCTCTCTATCTTCGGTTTACGCGTGTTCACGCTCGTTTGTTCAGACTTAAGGTCTGTTGTTTGGGGAGCCGAAAGTCTGATGGCCGGGAAGCTAAAATGCGTCGCCGCTGTTAGCGATTTAATGGCCGGTGGTGCTGGCTTAGGGACTTTGGTTCGATGATGGGGGGTTGCGATTTCGGTCCGAGCAAATTCGTTGTCAACGCCAGTCGAAGAGACCGGTTTTGGTTCGAAGTTTGGGTCGCCGACGTTTCACCAAGAAAAGGACGTTCTTGGTGAGCTCTCGGTGAAGAACCAGAAGGAATAGAAGGACGTGCATGGGCTTGCAGGGGGAAGAGAAAAGGCAAAAAAGAAAAAATAGAAAAAGAAAAAGAAGACCAAAAGAAAGAAAAAAAGAATAAAAGGGGAATAAAAGATTAAAGAGGAGAAAAGAAATTTAAAAAAAAAATCAGAAAAGAAATAGGGAAAAGGGGGATCCCGAGCGGGACTGAGTGTCGGGTCAAGTAGTCGGGCGGATCGGTCATGGGACCTGGTCCGGATTTTTATTTTATTAATAAAAAATATTAAAAAATTAATTTAAAAAAATCCGAAAATGTTTAAAAACCCAAAAATATTAAAAAATCTAAAAAACATTAAAAAAATTTAAAAAATTCTGAAAATTTCCAAAAATCCAGAAAATTAGGAAATGTTCAAAAATCACTTTTTGGCCCTGATTTCACTAGATATTAGTTTTAATTCCATTCTGGGCTTAGTTTAAAATTCGTAAAAATTGAGAAAATCCTTTAAAAAATTCTCAAAAATCGGACAAGCCATTAGGGTTTTACCTTGGGGCTTTTGATTGCCTTTTCCTTTCTAGAAACGATGATAGGTCGCCGGTTGTTTATTTTGGTTGTGCACTTTAAATACATTGGTTGTTATTTTCCATTTTTAGCATGGTTAGGACGAGCTTTAGGCTTTTCGATAGGCTGTCCAGTAGGTTAGTTTGCGAACGTTCAAGTTTAGGTACCGAAAGGGCACTAGTTAGATCGCTAGTGTAATCAAATCCCCGAATTTTGGAATCTCTGGTTTTCGCACGCATCGAGACGACGCTCCCGCGTCTCGATTAGGGTTTCTAGCCGACCCTTGATCATGGCTAGTGGCGACTCCATTCAAATGCGTAAATTAGAAAATTTTCGTCGCACGAGGTATGGGGCTTGGGAGTGCCTTAGTCTTTGGATTAATGAACCATTTGGTTTGTCTTTCGAACGAATCAATCGCTGTTCACATCCATCGATAAATACCTATTGGCCTAACCTTTCGGGACGGGTAGGTCGCGACACTAGCTTTTCTTGTATTTGTTAAGAGTAAGTTGAGGACTACTTTTCTGATCGCCACATTACTTTGCAGTGCAAAGGAGACTTCATATCCATTAATGGCGAACATCTTGACTCGAGTTTTAATCACTAAAGCTAGTGGTATTTATTGTGATCTACATGTTTTATATTTTACAATTTAGGAAACCGAATGATGTGGAGATTCGTATTTTCCTAATGCAGGCTCCATAGGACAACATGTGGCATATCTAGCCGGTAATGGAAATATGCTTCCAAATGATCGAGATATTTTTTTGCAACTTTATGATGATGAAGCGAGGTCTGCTAATTTAGCAAGATTACGGATGGCATTATTGGGGTTAGCTCATCCTACCTTTCAAGGTTTGTGTAGCTTCTTAGTTTCTGACAGTTCTTGTGTTGATATTACTTGATGATTTGGCACTTGAATCAGGTGTGCTTGCTATCCCAATACTTGAAGTGGCATGCCAAAATGTGGAGTATGTAGTTGGGATTGGGGAATTCGCGGGATCAACACCTCAGTCAAGAAGGGCAACCATGATTAGAAATTTCGGAATATATAGAAGACTGGCTGAGGCTTTAGTAGGACATGCACTTGCCAATTGCAAGGTAATTTTTTTTTCCAAGAAAGGATGTGAGCTGAAGGCCCGAGATGAACTGTGATTTGAGTCTTTTTTTCTTTTAGTGTGCACTTATATTTTAAGAACAGAAGGAGGGAACCTTCTTTCTTTTTTTTTTGCAGATTTTGATCTTTAGCCACCCCGCCAGCATAGGGGCAAGGGTTGTTCATCATTTTGCACCGTTGCCACCTCTGGGAAACATCACTAGTCTGACGAGAGCAGACCAGGACATGGCTGCGTTTTTTATAGCTGATAGAATAGATGTTGAGCCTGAGAATATGCAAAATTTCATTTGTTGGGGAATCAATTCCTCTATACAACACGTGGACATCACTCATGGCTGGATTCAGCCCAATAATCCAGTTGTCATTGCCAATTCTAGCACGCACAGCTTGATTATTGGGCTGAATCCAGCCATGAGTGATGTCCACGTGTTGTATAGAGGAATTGATTCCCCAACAAATCAAATTTTGCACATTCTCAGGCTCAACATCTATTCTATCAGCTATAAAAAACGCAGCCATGTCCTGGTCTGCTCTCGTCAGACTAGTGATGTTTCCCAGAGGTGGCAACGGTGCAAAATGATGAACAACCCTTGCCCTTATGCTGGCGAGGTGGCTAAAGATCAAAATCTGCAAAAAAAAAAAAAGAAAGTTCCCTCCTTCTGTTCTTAAAATATAAGTGCACACTAAAAGAAAAAAAGACTCAAATCACAGTTCATCTCGGGCCTCCTTTCTTGGAAAAAAAAATTACCTTGCAATTGGCAAGTGCATGCCCTACTAAAGCCTCAGCCAGTCTTCTATATATTCCGAAATTTCTAATCATGGTTGCCCTTCTTGACTGAGGTGTTGATCCCGCGAATTCCCCAATCCCAACTACATACTCCACATTTTGGCATGCCACTTCAAGTATTGGGGTAGCACGCACACCTGATTCAAGTGCCAAATCATCAAGTAATATCAACACAAGAACTGTCAGAAACTAAGAAGCTACACAAACCTTGAAAGTTAGGATGAGCTAACCCCAATAATGCCATCCGTAATCTTGCTAAATTAGCAGACCTCGCTTCATCATCATAAAGTTGCAAAAAAATATCTCGATCATTTGGAAGCATATTTCCATTACCGGCTAGATATGCCACATGTTGTCCTATGGAGCCTGCATTAGGAAAATACGAATCTCCACATCATTCGGTTTCCTAAATTGTAAAATATAAAACATGTAGATCACAATAAATACCACTAGCTTTAGTGATTAAAACTCGAGTCAAGATGTTCGCCATTAATGGATATGAAGTCTCCTTTGCACTGCAAAGTAATGTGGCGATCAGAAAAGTAGTCCTCAACTTACTCTTAACAAATACAAGAAAAGCTAGCAAGCACCAGCTCATGAACAATAATTTATACAAAAATTACTAATCTAATTCATGCGATCTTGGCTGCTTGCCTCTCTATATTGCTTGTCGGCAAGATAATAAACCTCGTACAGTGAAAAGTAATTTTTTGTGTTGCATTTGCTACAAAGTAGACTTCTTGGCTGTAAAATTTGGGTCCTTTTGCTGCTTCCTCTCACCACTTCTTTATCAGGCATATTTATGTTGTGAAGAGACTGTCGATTTTGTTTTTCCTATTCCATTTCCTTAGAGTTTGTTAGAAAACCAAAACTGCTTCTAATTATAGATTTACCATTATGAAAATGTGCCTGATTTTAACCCTCTTGAAAGCTCCCAAGAGAGTCCTACGACCATTCAAAAGAGAAGCGACAACAAGATTATTCAACCAATTTGTTAGGAGTAACGATACAGTTACCGGAGCATCCAACTCCACTATTTTAACAGCTACGCATTCAATTCTTGCAAAAGTGAAAGTAATATTCTCAAGGCCTCCTGAGATTATCTCAAAGTCAACAAAACTTTCCACCAAAAATAAACAAAGGGACAAACTCACCAATCAGAGCTGAGCAATTAATTAGGAGGAGAAGAGACTTTACATATGGGACTTGAGATCTTCAAAGTCCATGATATATGCAAACACACTCATACATAAGTCCATCGAATCACCTAAGGGTATTCTGAACCAATTCCAAAGCTAACCACATGTTTTTATTTTGCAAGTGTAGGAACACGTTTCATAAGTCAGATTGTAACGTCAAACCAACAAGATAAATTGCATGATAGAGTAAGGCTGGTGGTTCGGCCACAAGAAGAACAGGGCAATCTCGCTTTCACTCGCAATCTGTTCAAGAATTGCAATCCATCAGAATGTCATGAGAATAATCAAAAGGATAATCTTTCACTAGAAATCCCGCTCTTTATGGTGCCAAGATGTTTTGCAAAAAGGTGAGCAAAATCCATCATAACATCTTGTCCCTAGTTTTAAGTTTTTGTCTATCCCATGGACCTCAAACACAAGTTTTTGGAAGGAGGAAAAATTCCATGAACAACATATTAATAACAAAAAAATTCGTGGCTCGCTCCCATGGTTGAATTCTCGATCTCCTATCGGAGAAATATACGAACTATAACAAAGTTAGAGAAGAAAGCATTTAATGTCAGCTCTGTCCAAAGGCACATATAAGAAATCTTAAATCCCAGTGTACAAAGAGAAAATATCTTATGTATCGAATATGTCGCGATCATACAAATGAATATTAATTTCAATAACATGATCACGCGTTATTGTTCATGTGTCCTAAGTTTGAACTATATCATCATCCCCTCTTGACCTAACTAAGCGAAAACATAGGCGAAAATGATTGTTAAGACAATCTTTTTCCCTCGAGCAATCTCCCAACATGTCCATATCTCCAGTCCCCAATAGGTGGCGACAATAATGCGTTCTCGCCTGCTTATGCAAACCTTAGGCCTTAGCCTGTATAAGTCTCAAAGTAAGCACACTAGTTGTGGTGTGAGTTTTACATTCAAATTGAGTTGTTTATTTGTAAACACTTTGAATTTAGACTTAATCTAAGTGTAGAAAATACTCGAGCGTGTGAGCGATTGTAATTCTGATTCTCTGATTATAATTGATTATTTGCTGTCGGCTCTCCCCGTGAACGTAGATACTGACACTTGGACCGAACCATTATCATTTCTTGTTTGTTTTTCTGATTCTTTCGTGATGCCTTATTGGCAGGATTCTGTTACTTTCCGTAATATTACAACAATTTCAATTTATTTTCGGAAATGATTGCCGTGAACATGAGGTTGCTTGATTCAGGAAAACCCTGTGAGCAAAAGCATTCATTTAACCTAGTGCATATGCATGCATGGGATCGTGGGTTATAATGTAAGTGTTCATGTCTAGTCTTCATCTAATTACAAGGTCCATCTATTGGATGCACTTAGATCTAGACCAACTACATTGCAAAGAGATCATTGATTGATCTAATAAAAGAATAATTCCACCAAAGACTATTGTGGTTAGGTTAAATTGGACTTGGGGGGTCCATTTGCTCCATTGAATTAGCTTAAATTATTTGTAGAAGTTTCACTCTCTAACGCTTTCCATGAGTTAGTCACGGTTCAAAAAGTGATGAACTCCATCACAGAATTTATTGAAACTGAGTGATTTTTCGGAGGTTTGTCCTCTCGATTAGGTGCATCAGTTAAAAGATGCAATATGTCTTTCTTTTTTGGCCTGTTTTTTTTTTCAAAAGAATAAAACTGGGCTGAGATCGGTTTCTATAATATAGTTAGAATTTCAATTTAGTATTGAATACGAATTACTTATCTGAGTATCACTTACAAATCAACTTCCTATTTATAGATAACTTCTATTACGAAACCTAATCTTACTTTTTTCGAAATAAAAGGGGCAAGAAAGTGGCAAACTAATTGTGGCCACTAACCAAACTAGTTATGAACATACAAATAAAGCAGTGATGGACTTGGACAGTGACCCGATTTTGGAGCTCCTATGTCCGTTGCAGCGGCAATTATTTGCATCCACCAGGACAGGAATCTCTGTAGCTTGGCATGGACTTCCATTTGATAGCCTGCCTTCACATCAAAATCATGATTGTACGACTGGGTTCGTTGTTCGTAAAGTAATGCAACAACTTTGAGTTGATGATCCGTCCCGGTTACATTTAACATTTAGTTACAAAATCGATATGTTGAATAACATGTTAGATTATAATCAAGCATAAATAAGTGGGTTGGGAGAGGGGGATCCGTCGCCAAACACTAGACCTGTCTATTGTTACCACTTCATCCGCCGTTGAATTTGCATTCGATAGGCGATTTGACACCCATCAAGAGATCAACCCTCAACTCCCAATCTCTCTCTCTCTATCCTGCCGTTTGGACCATTGCCTCATATAAGTGGATCATATTCAATATCTAATAATAGTATGCTTCATTATTTCGTTTCTCATCTGGTAATATACTACATGTCTAGGTTTTTTTTTTTTTTGGTATGTCATACTCTAATTCTGATCTCTCTCACACTTTTGTCCTGCCTCTCTATAGAACATGAGAGTTGAACTCCATATCCGAAACTAAACGTCTCCACCCCACCCCACCCCAACCCAATCCCTTATCACTGGGCCGCGTGTCAAGTGGCATACTACATGTCTACTGTCTAGGTTGGTAAGTAGAAAAGGAACTCTCTTCTCCGCCTTAAAACCTTTTTTTTTTGTGAGAAAGCACGATATAGGTAAGTTTCAAGTTTATGAAATATACCGTCTTATCGATTAGGAAAGATGAGAGTAAGGCTGCGCATGGCAACCATTCTGTGCTCGGGAACAGATTCTGGTCAGAAATGATTCTTTTTTATTCTGTGCCCGGGAACTTATTTTGAGCATTTAAAGGTGTTTGGTAATGGCCCAAAATTTCTATTCCTAAAATAGTAAAAGAACAGAAATGCATTTGGTAACGGCATAAAATTTCTTTTTATTAATAATATTTTAATAATATTTTAAATATTTTAACATTTCTTTCTTTTCTTTTTTTCTTCTCTTCCTTCTTGGCCATGGCCGGTAAAATAATTTTTAATTAATAATAATTTTATTAAAAATAATTTTTTATTTTTTTGGCGTTGGTCGGTAAAAAATTTCTTTATTTATAATACTTTTATTAAAAAAATAAATTTTTTATTATTTTTGGCCATGGCCGGTAAAATTTTTTTTATTAATAATATTTGTTTCTTTTTTTTTGCCATGGCTAGTAAAATATTTTTTTTATTTTTTTTGCCATGGCCGGTAAAATATTTTTTTATTAACATTTTTTTATTAATAATATTTTTTATTAAAATATTTTTTCCATTTTTTTCCATGGCCTGATAGCCGGCCATGGCCGATAAAATATTTTTTTATTAATAATATTTTTTGTTCATGGCCGATAAAATATTTTATTATTAATAATATTTTTTTATTAAAATATTTTAATCTCGCCAGATACGGCGAGGGTGGCTCTCGCTCCGAACATTAGAAGCTACATTAAAAACCAAGAAAAAGAAGAAGAAAAAAAAATTGATTCTCATTTTTGTTCCTAGAATCAAGAAGCTATTTTTTTTTTATTCTTGATTCTGCTCCAAAACTGATTCTGGGCACAAATTTGCAAGAATAAAAAATTTAACAAGCGGATTTCTGTTCCAAAACTGATTATAGGAACAAAAGAACATAAATTTTCACTATTTGGCTAGTTGCCAAACAGGCCCTATAAAGCCAGATAGATGATCCCAAGGAGTGATCTTTTTAGAGTTGTGAAGAAACCAATAAGTGACTTGTGCTTAATTGACGTACATGTTTGTCGAAACTAGGGTGTTCTTCTCGAGTTAACCTATTCAGTCCAATTATTTGATTGTCTAGACTTTATGTGGTCTCACGTGATCTTAAGAGATGACCAATGTTGGATACAAAGTTATTATATGATCTATAGATCATATTATCAATATCATTTGAATCGTTAGTCATGTGTTGGGATCGACGTGATCAACGATTCCAAGACGAAGCATCCGAGCATCAAACATGTGATTGTCCTTTCGTACACACAAGATAATAGTATATTGACATTCTAGTGATTTAGGTTTGGGACCATGTGGCGACAAGTGTGGAGATTTCACATCCCCGTTGGGGAATCTTAGCTAAGATGTTTGAATTTTCATGATACCTAAGC